CCACAGTCTCACACTTTGCGAGATCCGCAAAGTGTGGAGAATAAACCTACACACAGTCTCACACTTTGACGGATCACCTAAAATTTAAAGACATTGATAAACACGATTTAGCACCAAAGTGTACGCCCCGAACCACCCACGCCCTCTATCATAACCTTCGCTCGGCCGACCGTCTCTCAGCATCCACCAGCACCCGCGTTTGACGGACCTTCACCCGCACCCACCCCTCTTCCGCCCCCCGTCCGCATGCGACCCGGCTGTGCTCTTTAACAAGAACACGACGCGCTCAAAAACTCGCAGAACTGTTTCGGCAAAGCTGCAAGCCAGTTTGCCAGTTGTCGGCCAGTAGTTGCTTACGCATCTCCTATACATAACCTACAACCTGTTTTAATACATATTTGTATTTTCACTTTTAGGCTCTAAGGATGATCGCTACGCGATCGAAATGATCATAAGTTGAATTAAAATATTGATAACTGACAATATTTTTATTTATTTATCACTTTAACCTTTCATAGTACCACGAATTCTCATATCAATATTTTTAGAGTTAAAATCTGTAACTGTGATATTTGACGTTTCGTAAAAGAACTAGTGCTATTTGAAAGCAAATAAATACTATATTACATCTAACATTGCGCTTGGCAACGTTATAAAAGCGCGCTTGGCAACGGTTGCTAAAAGCGTTACCCTTCAAATGTTTTCCTGGGTACAAAGTATCGACAACGGATTCATCTGTCACATTCACGGAGAGCAACATCGAATTGAAAATTGCCCCGAAAAGAAACTACGGTGGAAGAACGAATGCTTGTCAATTTGGCAATAAGGAGAATACCACGAGTTATTGCAAAGATCGCGGGAAAAACCCGCAGTCAACTATTTATGTTATAGTAAACAACTTCATGTACAATGGCAGATTAATTCATAAAATCGGTAAAAGCCGAAAACCTATCTTCAATGAACGAGAAATACTGTCAATCAGCAGCAGGAATCTTCTCCAGTGTTGTTAAAATGACTCCGTGGGAGGTTTCAACAACAAGGAGAATTGATCCACAGAAGCCGTTCTAGTGTCACTACAAAACGCTAGTTACAATGAGAGAGTAGTCAAGAAGCCTTGGATTAGTAAGGCCATTCGACGCTATGCTCTGCAGTTTGTGAAATATTACAGGAACCATCCTTCGGAGTTATGGCTAACATTTTCAGTGATTATATTAAATTAAAGATATTCATCAGACGGGCAACAGTAAGTGTAGACTGAGGAAGATTAACGCAGTATTAGAAAAATAAAATTTACGCGCAATTGTGAAACACGGCGAGGGCTCCTTAATGGTATGGGGCTGTATGCCTGCGTCAGGTGACGGGACACTTGTTGATTCGATAGCTACATTTGGATATTTATCAATTTTAAAATGTAAAGCAAAGCGCAGCAAATCATGGACTGGGGCAGACATTACTTTCAGCAGAACAACGCGCCCAACCCCACACAGCACATTGTGAAGTTACGGTTGCTAAATAATGGACCTAAGCGCCTTGAAACGTCGCTATCACCCGAACTCCCATCCTTTAGAGAAGATGAGGGGATTGGAAAACAGTATAAAAAAAGAGATCCAGTAAAAGAGTCTTCAACAGATGCTCGCTGACAATTGGAAGACAATCTCGCCTGAGCTTACAAGGAAGCTAGATTATGCATCGGAAGAAATTTATTCTTTATTATCTATTCACTTATTTCGAGAGTTTTATAATGTACGAGTAAAGAATGTTTGCATTAATATCTATACTTGTTTTGTCCCTCACAGTTCTGCAACATATTTTTCCTATGCCAGTGTGTTTTCTTACATAATGTACTGTCAATTTCGAGAGCCACTGTACAAAGGCTTCTCGACAAAGTATATCAATTGTCCATAAAATGAAAACTAAGCCTCAAGGCCTCAAATCAAAGCCGAAAGTCATTACCCACGGACAAATGTTTACCCTACTTTCAAACCCATTTATTTGTTGCACTCTACTCCATGAAAACTTCAAATACTCGAGACAGTCTTGCAAAAAATCTACGCCAAAGGAAAGATACTCCAACTAAAACCACTTCAGAGACTCACGTCTGAAATGAAAAATGCAATAGCACTTTGCAACATTATCCGACCTATGATTAATACATGTGCGTACCCATGTCTGGTTAAATGCTTGAGATCTTAAAATCCCAATCCTTCAAAACATACCTCAGAACCATTATTAAAGCCCCATGGATAGTTTCAAATTTACAGTTCGAGAAAGTACTTAATATTCCATCCATTATTTCGTTCATTACCAAGATCTTCAGAAAATTCTACTCTCTCATCAACCATTGCATTCCATTCCCAATTTAACCTTGTTCAAATTTCAGATTACCGGACAAGAATTTAAAACATTCAAGCATTTTTGAATATTCACTCCGAATTGCACAATAAGAATGGAGCTTCATGATCTTTCTTTGTCTTCAGTAGTTACATTTACAATTAAATTAGTTTATAAGGTTAAGAAAAAATTGTATTTGTAAAAGTTCTGACAAATGCACCTAACTGGTGCAATAGTGACGCAGTGAACGGCTACTAGCACAAATCGCTGAGCAAATAAACTGATAATGTTCCGCATGTGAAATATCACTGCCCTGAAAAGACTAGAACGTTATTTCCTATGAGTAACAAGTAAATAAAAATATAGATGTCAACGTTTTATTGAGACATTTTTCTGTTAAATTCTTGTACCGTTTTTTTCAACGTGTGTAATTGATTTGACGAAAAGCAGCAGTCGGAAAGAGACGAACACATTTCGGTTGGTTTGAATCAAGATAGTTACTTCAAAGTAAAGTATCTCGAGGTGGGTGGAAGGTAATTTTTAAATCTGGTTTACTTTCAGTTCATTCATTTCATTTTCATCTCTTGCGCATTTATATATTTATGCACATTTTTAAGTTACTTCAAGACATTAAAACTTTGTAAGAAAGAAGTGCGATTCAAAACAGAATAAATAATCATTTTTAATTCAAGTTTTATATATGAATTGTATTTGTGTACTTTATCTAATTTCCTTTCTTTATTATATCTGCTATCTTCATCTACGCTTTTAAAAATCACCTTGCAGGGGCCGTGGATGAGTAAATTCTAGTAGCTACTTGGAACGAAAACCCTGATATATGTTCCTGACTTGTTCATGTTCAATGCACCATAATTTCGATCACGTACGGGCGTACCTTTTGTTCATGCCAATCTCATTAAATTCCGTTTACTAAAAACTGGCACTATTTTATGTGCAAGTAAACAACGGCCCTCATTAACTCTTCTACTCTTAATGATAATGTAGGTTACGAGCTGCTTCGTCGCAACTTATAATATCCCCAGGAATCTCTCTTCATGGGAACGTAAAATATCCAAAATCTTTAGCCGCACTCGTTGAAACATCTTGAAATACTGGAAGACAAACTATACTAAACTCTTACCCAATATAAAGTTACTTCAGATTAATGATGGCATAATGTACAGCGCCATTCTAACAATTGTCTACTGTGCTTTAGACGCTAGTGCGCCTCCGATGATCCTCTACTCAACAACGATTGAGAAGTTTTTACAATACGGAATGATAATGAAAACCATACAAGTATCTAAAACTTACGACAATGTATCAAAATTTTGATAATTATCGAACAAAAGTTATTAAGGGCAGGAATTCGATTTGTCCTTCATATAATCCGGAACTAAAACTCCTGTTAAACTATTTTGTTAAAATTGTTAATGTTTATATAGTACATATTATAATAAAAAATCTAAAAATATATAATGACCCCTAATGAAATCATTTAAGAACTACGCTTTATTAAGGTTTCAGAAAAATTTCGGAAAATTTAAATTAGTCTCAAATGTTATTACTAATTATTATTAATTTAATTAGTGTTGCATCATTTATGAATCTCTAACAAAACAACATTATGAAAAATATCCACGCACTACATTTTATTAATTGTGTAAAACGTAATAAATACAGCACACCAGGAAAGCCTATTCGCAGATTCACCTTGTTGGTGAGAGGGATTGCAACAGTAAATATGTTGGTATCGCGTGCTGAAGCTTGAAAAAACCAATTGCGTTCTTACCTCAAACTTCATAGATACTGGAAGGCCCCTTCACCTGTTTCTCAGTGATCCGATTGCTACTAACGATGCAATTTTTAATAGGAAGACCTAATTGCGAAGAGCGTACGGAGAGACTTTCTTGGGGTACTGTAATTATTGAATGTAATTTCCATTCACTTCTGACAATTAGTTTTGTCAAGCAACGAGCAATTGCTCCATTTGCTTGTGAAATGGAATGGATTCCAATATTCAAGTGAACAATATTCCCTGATCAAGTGTTGAATCCCTCAAAGGGGCTAAGCTTGTTAAATAATTTCACGTGAAGTAGACTTTTCATTCGAAGGTTGTCATATTGTTCCCACCCACCGTCCTCAATTCATCATTACCTTACTTCCATTGTACGTTTTATTTCACATTCAAAAGACTTCATTTCCAAACCAATATTAATTTCAGACGTCGTTGGCCTACAATAAACTTTCCGTAAAAACTGAACCCTCAAATTAATGCACGCCCAAGAAAAATACACATGCATATAGTAAATCTTTGTGCTTTTCAATCTCGAAAATTAAAACGAAATGCCGAACGAGTGATTTAACAGTCATTCATGAGAACAGGAATGTTAAAATGTCCTTTTCATTTTAAATTACTGTAATAAGACTATTGTGATGAAAAACTCCAATAAAGGAGTTCAACTATCTTATTTCCGATTCAAGAGAAATGGTAAACCCAAAGAAAACTCTACAAAAGAAATGCTTCCATGTAGTCCATTACATCAGGTAATAAACCTTTCCTTCATTTCAAATAAATAAAACTTACGACTAAATTAAACCACGACAACGAGAACTGAAAACTACCAATTCAATAATTAAATATTTTATAATTCAATGAAAAAACTTACCATCAAATCTTGCACGACCCTCCGCCCTCTGCCTCGTCGCGTCGTACAACCATCTGCATTGCAACCCAGTTCTTCAGAGTTACAGCTCTTCAAAAACAGCAACGATCTAAAATTAAAAAAAAGATTATGTATTTTATAGATTACGCATCTTTACAGTGAGCTATAAACTATGTAACTGCCCCAAATATTGTAACGTATACTTTTACACCACGTGTACATATTGCATGCCACGCATCCAGGTGTCCATGCACTTTCTCAGAAACTTAAGTCCTTTTGATATTACTACATTTAATTCAATTTGTAGCAGACAAATATTTTCCAGCATTTACTAATTGAAAATATCAACCAATGTTTAATTCTGTTTAACACACAATTGTTGTGTAGCAAACGTAAGTATAAAAACGAACAATGAAATATAAATATCTGACATTAATATAAAATACAATGAACACAAAATTTACAATATTATTGTAAATAATATAGAACTGCTCACCATAACAGCCGCAACAAGGTATACAACTGCATCGCTCCATATCACAGAACCCCAAGCAACCTCCACCAAAGTCTTGACTGCCAACTGAAAACGAAGAGACCCGCTGCGTCGCGAACGACGCAAATACTAAATACTTCTCTCAAACCGTCACATTCATTTCGTTCGCATTTGAATCGTCACGTGAACTCTAGACGTCACGGATACGTCATAGCTTCAGACGTTGCAAGCGAAGATTTCTAGTAGATTCTGAGAGAAAAATTCCTGACGATACCAGAGCTCCTTCAGAAACCGTGAACATTTAATTGATTTACACTAAAAATGTCACGATTACTTTTGATTGTCATTGTTACTTTCAAAACCAATTTCAATGTTCAATAACAACATTATAATTAATATACTTAAAGAGCACTTACAATCATAGCTTTCTAAGTCAATAAATAAAAATAAATAAATAAATAAATAGGGCCAGCATTTTCATTCACATTACACATTTCATTTTCATTGCGTCGTTGTTGCAATTACTACTCGTGAATGTGGTTCAAGAAAATAAGATAAAATAAGCACGTATTAAGGAGATAAATGGCGAGGGGACGAAAGGAGCTACAAATTCTAGTTTTCAATAGTGAAGTAAATATATTTACTTTCCTGAAACACATATTATTTAATACATTACCATGTTTTTAAAATATTCATTTCGCGAAATTTTATTTTCATGTTTTTTTATTTAAAATATTTATTGTTCAATAATAATTCCACCAACACTTTACTTTATTGCCGCATTTTGCATTGCAAAAATCAACGTTCCACATTATATTTACCAAAAATTATATATATATATATATATATATATATATATATATATATATATATATATATATATGTACTTTCATAAAGCTCTTTTTATAAAAAATCTGACCATTCACAACAGAAGTAAGAATTTTCTCATTAGCTGTATGTTTCTTGACAGATTTCTATTACACTGACTTTTCTCGCAATAACGTTTGCAATCCGCAAGGAAATTAACCTTCTTTTTTAGAGGAAGGAGAGCGAATATCTCATCTCTGGATAGTGATTACTAGATCTCGGATTTAAGGAAATATGCTTATTTAGTTCCTTTGGCAGGTTTCTGGAAAATAATTACAGATGTTTACAAATCATGAAAAATAGATGTACTGAAAACATGTAATAGTGCCCAAAATATTGTAAAATAACGGATACCGCCCATTTTAATATTTTTTGGAACAAAATAAATAATTTTGGAGAATTATATTTTGATAACTCATTTCATAAATTTGTTGTGCAAAATGATAGACAACATTCATGAACTGTGCTATGGCATACAATCTAACAAGTCTCTAGTAATGGCCTGGCTCCCAAATGCCTGAAAATGACATAATAAGTCTTGAGAAAGAGATGTATGTAGAAAGAGGAGTAGTTTAAGCAACTTTGCGCATATGGACGGATCTATAGCCACGCTTCAGGAGAATACAGAAGAGGTGGGGCAACCACTGGAGAACTTTGAAGTCTACGTTCTTGCACAAAAATTGTAAATGTTTACTCCTTGAAAACTTGCAAAGACTTTACTAAAAAAGAACAGGTGATAATATTACGAATAAGAACTAGTCATTTCAACCGATCATCTCCTAACCAGAGAGCCCCCTCCCACCTGTGTGCCCTGCAATAACTCTCTCAACATCAATCATTTGTTATTCCATTGTAATCTGTTTCAGCACAACAGACGAAAGCACAATATAGCTGAGCAAGAGTAAGAACTAAAACTTACATTGAGGATTATTAAAAAATGTCCTACAATTCTGTAAAGCAAATAATATCCTAAGTGAAATACAACCCTACTAAATGTATTTCAAAAGTGTACAAATGCAACTTTATATTTAACAATTTATGTTTAATTTATGCTAGCTAGAATTTTTCTGTTCTATTTTGTTTAATCATGGTTTAAGCACCTAATAACCGATAAAAATGTAATGTAATGTCTTGATATGAAGCCGCTTATAACCGTAGATATTGATGTAAAATAAATTTATAAAAATGATTGTAGTCACATCCATAAATGCAAAAAAATTCCTAAATAATAAAACGGGCCTAATTTAATAGTTGTTATTTGCCTAGTTTAATAATTTTGTTACATACTTTGTGTGTCTAAGTCTTCACTTGTTGGTGCCAAAAATTCCTTAGTCTAGTGATTATCCATGAAAATAAAGAGGCAGAATCAGGGAGAAAGTAAGTGCGGCCGGAGCGGACGGAGCTGGCGGATTTCACAGCTGGCAGATTTTACGAAGCTGACCGAACGGGTAGAGTGTGCTATGAAATAACTAGGAGAACTGTGTTGGGTGAGGTTGACCAGATGAATAAGCTGATCATTTATTAATAATTGATTTATTTCAGTTTTATGGCTTCTCATTTGATATTGTACTCTCTGAAATGACAGATGTTTTTGTCATAGGATACAAGACAGTTTTATGTCTTGTATTCTCGGAAAAGACACGTTACCTAAATACTCAAATGTTACAGGCTGGTGAGACCGCACTGTCGTGAACCTTTACGGCCTCCACAGCGTCTCACAACGGACAGTTAGTTGGGCATAGGCTGGCGTACAAGGCACTCAGCATGACTTTCCATGACCGTTTAGGTGTTAAAGCCCGGAAAAGGCCCTGCGTCGCCACTATCTACCCATCTGTCGTCAGGGTCTCGGTTACTACGGAGGGAATCAAGCAGGTTACATAATTACAAGTATTTGTACGATTATTGTATACTATAATATGTAGTAGTTGCATACAAAAACACCAATCAAAACTGCAGTAAACATTTGCTTACTATAAAATAAATACACCAAAATATTACAACTCTAAAAGAAGATTCTACGGTTAAACTGTAAAAAAATCGTAATTGACGAAATTCATTCAAAAACAAAGCAACCAATAAGTTCCAGATTTTTATTGTAAATTCAGAAGAATACCAACTGAAAATTCAATTAACTTTACAAATTGCTGGTCACTAACACATAAAAACACAGTGTTATGTTTCATTATTAAAACAACAAAATTGTTTTTTTGTTGACTTTCTCCATAGAGTAGAAGCTGCGACGATCAATGGTCATTATGATGAGACCCGAACTCGTATCCCCCGCGCTGCGGAGAATTATCGCTTGTTCGATGGTTCTATGTTGACATAGTTTCTTAGAGTAAGGGCTGGGTCCGTCCACCGTCACGCGCTGGGCACCGGCGCCCCTATCCCGCGCTGCGGAGAATCTATGCTTGTTCATGGGTCATGTTGACATAGTTTCTTAGAGTAAAGGGCTGGGTCGTCCACGCAGTCTACCGCCGATGGGCACGGCCCCTATATCCCCGCGCTGCGGAGAATATCGCTTGTTCGATGGTTCTATGTTGAACATAGTTTCTTAGAGTCAGGGCTCGGGTGTCCACCAGTCAACGCCGATGGCACCGCCCCCTTTTCCCCGCGCTGCGGAGAATTATCGCTTTCGATGGGTTCTATGTTGACATATTGTTTCTTAGAGTAAGGGCTGGGTCGTCCCCAGTCCGCCGATGGGCACCGGCCCCCTTCATCCCCGCGCTGCGGAGAATTATCGCTTGCTCGAGGGTCCATGGTTGACATAGTTTCTTAGAGTAAGGCTGGTCGTCCACCATCAGCGCCGATGGGCGAACCGCCCGCCTTATTCCCGCGCTGCGGAGAATTATCGCTTGTTCGATGGTTCTATGTTGACATAGTTTCTTAGAAGTAAGGGCTGGGTCGTCCACTCAGTCACGCCAGCGGCCCCTGTCACATTATCTGGGCAGGAGAATTATTGCTCTGTTTGGAGAGATGGAAGTTTGTTGCCCGGGGGGGTTCATGTGTTTTATTTGCGCCGCATTCACCTGCACATACCGAAAATTTAATTGCTTTTCTTTATAAATAGTAGTTTTGATGTCTCAATGCTGTGTTAATTGTATTTGAGCTGCTTATAGCATATTTTTGACGAAAAAATGTCGAATTCAGATTATGTATTATTTGTTTGGGTAATGTAGAATGGATAAATGTACCATTCTCTATGGAGGAGGGAGCGTTTCCTCTTATTTTCGATGGAGGGAAGGGAGGGAAGGGAGGGAGGACACTCTCTAATTTTCATAATTTCTTATATATTACGAAATTTAAGCAGCATTAGGTTACTAATAGTTTAAATGTTAATTAAGTGTCATAGGTGGTATGACACTAAATGTTGTAGTGTCAATGGTATTTAGTTTCTTGGGCACCAAGAATTCTTTTTCCTCATTAATTACCTATTGAGCTCTCAAGGAAATATTTATATTTTATAAGCATCCACACAATAAATGTTTAATCTCAAAGTTCGAACTACGGAAAGAAGTTTTGAAAAACCCTCCTCAGTTGCCTATTTGGCATGAAAGCTAAAACGTTTTCGAGGAAGTAATATACTGTTTCCATGGCGATAGTAAGAGTTTAAAAGTTCATATTCCTAGATAACAATTGGTCTATATCTGTTTCTCTTTGTAGTATAGTGTAAACGTATTAGCCCAGCGTGGCCTCATGGCATCTATTTGGGGGACGCTTGGTTGCGGATTAGTCTCGCCACAGGAGTAGGGTTTTTTGCCGTAAAGGGAAGAACGCGGAGACGGGAGACACAAGGCTTTGGGTGTCTTCGGCTTATAGAAGCATTTCCACTGTTATAACAAGCGAGGGGGTGGCGTGAACGTAGGAGGTCACGTGGGGCCTCGCCTATATAACAGAGTGTACGAGCCCAGTAGGCAGGTTCTGGAGACGGTGGGAGAACTCGTGCGTGTTGCACAAACTTTGGCGCCAAGACGGTCGCATATGCGAGCCCAGGCTCGCGAGGGCTCGAGTCATTCAGTTGACGAAAGCCTGCGGACTATTGTTCCTTGGGTGACTGCGGTCAGCGGGGGAGCGATGCTGTTGCGTGCTCCGAGGTGAAGAGTGTTGAGTGCCACGATTCACGCCGATTCTCATCGGGAATAAAGATCGCTCCTGCGATCGAGGCAACCAGCGTTCGGTGAGCCAGAACGTGACTTTGTGTCCCAGCGTGGACATCCGGTCACAGAAGCTAGGGCTTTGTGGCCGGCTTTCAAAGTTAGGAGTGGCGGAATGACAATCAAAAGCATCTTCAAATCGGGTTTGGATCGCTCCCGCGTCAGGGGATAGTAGGTCTATCAGAGCTAGGGTGTAAGTAGATTATTAAGTGTATATCTTTGTTTTGGTTTCTTGTTTCAATAATTATTGTTATACGAAAGCTCTGTGTCTGTGGTCGCTGTGAGTATCCATGACGTCACAATAGGGTGTAGTGTAGTTTATGGGGTTAGACCGCTGTTGCGCTCATCCCTTGTAAACTCATGTGAACAAAGTATTAAGAACTACAACTACAAATGAACTTTCTTCATATATTTTGGAAGAATATAACTTACACGATTCCTAAATAAATTAAAAGTTAAATAAAGTAATTATTCTGTTGAAAAACTCGATTGTTTGTTAACAACTTTTGCAGTAGTCAGTTTTCAAAAGATTTCTAATGAATACATTTTCAAATTTTTGAATTTCCTACTAAATTTTGCAAATGACCCAGAATTTCCGGAACAGCTAACAGTAGCAAATAAAAGGAAACAACCAAATCGTAAATACAATCGCAATTGAAATATATTCTTTTACCTCTCTTGAAATATCCTTAGAACATATTAAAAATATTTAATAAACAAAAACAAGCTTGTATTTAATAAGTACTCGCCGTGACCAAAGTTCGTAAAATACCATACATGAAATTCTGAAAATTATCAAATTTGGCAATATAATATTACAAAAAATATCTAACAAAGACGGAATTTACCTCAAGGGACTTCACTTTTTGCCGTAAGAAAGAATGTGTTTTCCCCTGGACGGTGGTTTGAGAAGGCCAAATTAGCCTCACTGCCCCGAATCACCCGGCAACTGATCGACAAACACAGACTGACAATACTCATTATTAGTATAAGCGAAAATGTTTCGATAAAAAATGTATACGAGAAGATTTTTTTACGTCGAACGAATGTGAAAGTATTCAATAGAACATGTTGATCAATCCCGATTAACCAGGCGGGAGCCCAGCGTCTTTTTCAAATTTCGCCAGCCTTTGGGCGGCGTTCACCTAAACTCCGTGGATCCTTCTGGTCGGCATTTGAGCGACTGATTAGTGATTCCTACCGCAACAGCTAATGCTATTAGTCTCGTAAGTGTAGTTGATGATTTTGTAACGAAAGATGAAGGTGATCATCCTCTGCTGGATGACCAGATTTGGCGCCGACGTAACCGTCGTCTTGCGAGATTCCCCCCCCCCCTCCACCAAATATCTCACTTGTGGCTGGTGGCACATTGTCTCAGCCGGATCAAACTCTATGCTCTCGATTGGTTTCCTGGCTCGTATAGCAGTGAAATGCATGTAAGTGTTTGTTAGTAAAGGATGAAGTTAAGATAAAGAAGAGGAAGGATAAATCGCACGCGGTCCGTGACTTATTTGCATCCAATAGTTACTGCTCCGCCATTCGCCGGAGTTGACGAAAAAAACATGGAAAACTATCGATCGGAACAGCCGGCCGCTAGAATTCTCCTCCAGATAGTGGCTATCTAGCCAATGTGGAAAATCCTGGCACCGTCGGGACACAAAACCTAGGACACGTTACTTCAAATATTAATGATAAAGTTAATTAAATGTTAAGCAAACATTCAGTTCGAAAGCAATTCAGTGCATCATGTGTGTCGGTCTGCATAGGAAGTAAGTGGTGTGCTGTCTTTCGATAAAAGATCTTCATATTTTTTGTTACGAAACCAAACATTAAACAAATATTGCAGCACTGTTTCTTCTGAACACTAATAATTTTCATCTAATTTCGTTCTTAGCAAAATGGACAGCACCGAAACACAAATTGGTCGATGGTAGCAACTAAAGAATGTTGGGGAAATCTTAAATGGCAGTTTATAAGGTCTTCTTCCGTTTTGAACCGGTTATGGACCCCTTCTCTGTGTGTTTAGGTAGATGAAATAGATTACATTTAAATATATTTCTTACTGAAAATCTAACAGTAAAACAACTTACCTTAAGTATGATAATTTTAAAAATAAATTATACGCAATATATTGAATCAGCTAAATGTTAACAGAATAAATAGTAAAGGCAACCTTGAAGCAAAAATAATATTTTATAAGCAGATAATGCTGTATCAAACATATTTTGACTTAGTCTTGCGTCAATTACGTAAAGATTATTAATACGTACAATTACTTACGTACAATATGAAAAATAATTCCAAAACAGATGTAAAATACCTGGGGCTCTTGGGTTTTCGGTTCAAGAGTGGATGTTTTCGTGACCCCTGGCCACCGTCTTCGGGGACTCCTCGCCGCACCACCCAACGCCCGGCAGCGGGCAACTCTCGATGACCAGGGGGCAACAATTCATGACATTGTTGCACATACACTCTGACCTCACCTTTTTGGTAAACTCTTTACAATATAACACGTTTTGTCGGTTTTGAGAGGTAAAGGTTTTTTAATGGTACATTTTATAATTACTTCTATTTTTTCTTAATATAATTGAATCGGTTAAAACAAAAACGTTCGATGATCAGCAGCTTCAAATTTGGAAGAGTAAGCACAAAATTTGAAAGAGGGTATAAAATGTCCCCTTTAAAAGACTCTCACTATTAATCGCATGAATCCGCCATCACATTCTTTTTTCTTTTATAAGTTTCATGTGACACACAATTGCTAACAACGCGGTATATCGGTTCACCAAAGGGCGTCCGCTGCCAGGCAGTGATCGTGCACGTGTAGCCTGCCAACCAACGGACGTGAACGACGTACGTTTTGCGACGCTCGTGTGTAGCTAGCCTTATAGTGGTATAACTACTTAACTCTCCCGATGCTTACACTATTCTTATTATCTCATCTTCAGTCAAGAAATACGTCTTTTAGGAGAAAAGACAATTGTTATTCTACTTACATCCCCTGTTTGTTACAATTATTTAACTTTAGAGCTCAATATTTCAAAACTAGTGCGAATGGATTTGTTGAATAATAATTGGATCTTTTTTCAGCTAATGGAAGAGGACACGCAACATTATTAGAAATGAGAATCAATGTAATATTTTCTTTGGAGTCTCCACTTCCTTCATCCTATAATTACATATCCATCATGTTCATAGTTAATAATAAATCATTTTAATCGTCATTAATATATTGAGAAATTGCTACGGGATGATTGTGGGGAAGGATGCTACGAAATTGAATTCTTGTTTAACAAATTATATTAAAGTCAATCTTTATTAAATCATATAAGATAATACTTATGGCTGGGAAAGAATTATTTTTATCCCATTCATAGGTTTTACGGCTCTACAGTCAATAAATGCATTTATTTTGGGGTGATAAATTATGGACTGTATAAAACTGCTAATGGTTTGGTTTGGAATCTGATGGACTTGGAATGGAGATGTGAACATGGATTTTGCATAAAATTTTAAACTTGTTTTTTAAGAAAAATGCATACACTGCAGTTATTTTGTGAAGAAACAATACGCGTTACAAGGCATGTAAAATCAGTCCTCATAAAGTCCAGTTCCCTAAATACAATTTTACTACCACAATTCTTCAGTAATTGTTTTTAAACAATTTACACACATTGATCACTCTTGAAACATCGAAACTCGAGGCACAACGCCATGCCATCTCAGTGGAGTACAGCGTCAACGGGGGCTCCCTCCCTCCTGTTGCGTTTGTTGAGCTCCACGTGCACCACCTCACGCAGCATGCCCCACAGCGCCGTCTTGTCCACGACGAAGAGCTTGTCGTCGCGGGGCGTGGTCGGGGGCTCCGCCGACGGGCCGCCCAGCGTAGGCGGCGTGGACGGCCGCTGCCGCTCCTTGTTGATGCTGTGCGCCTGCGGGCGCGGCGGGCGCGGGGTCGCCATCGTTGTTTGGGCTTCTGAGAGGGGCGTCGTTTCCGTGGCGGTGCTCGAAGATGCGGGCGGAACCGGGCTGGGGGATTTTGTCATACTAGGAACGTTTCTTGATTTATTTGTGTTGTTTGTTTTTAATTGATTGTTATCATCTGTTGAATTTTGAGTGGTGGTGTTTGATTTCGAATCACTCACGTTTGTAGCAATTATAACTAACTGCTCAGCTTTAGCACCTAACATTTCTGCATCTTCTGCTGGAATTATAAGGTCAAATGACGCAGATTCAGTTGCTACTGGCTTACTGCTACTTATTACCAACACTGGCTCGGGATTTGATAAATTACTGACTAGTGCTATCGTAGGAATGACAGCATCGCTAGTGTTTGTGCTGTTGTTAGGTATTTTTCTTTCTAAGGTCAGCTCTGCACTTGACACGGTGAACTGAGTCACATTTCCGGTCACATTTGCTTCACTGAAGATGAGGATGTTAGCCATATCAATATCACGTTGCACATGATCCACTTTTGAAGCGTTGGAGGAAGAAAATGTGTTGGCCGAAACTAGAGGTTTACAAGATTTACCACACTCGCATATTTGAGAGAAATCAGAGCTCGTGCGAGGTTGTCCTGTAAAAGAAAAACATCACTTAACAGGTGATATTTTTTAAGAAACTCTCTAAATAAGTACTTAAGGAACAGTAGTAAAATAATCTGATCGAATAACATTTCAATAAAAAATAAAGAATTATTGATAATGCATAATGCATCATTGATTAAGTTTGATTTATAACAATTGCAATTTAATTCATAATCAACTCCAAAATTGTATTTTTTGTGGTGAGTTTCAGGCCATGAGGCCCTCTCTTCTGTTAAACCGTGTCAGTAAGATTTCATGATTTTGAATTTTTTTTGGAATAATTTTCAAATAGGAAGGACCCAGTCTGGGTCTGTTATGGTAGGAGTCATCCAGTCAATTACCTTCGGCCATTGAGCAATCACAGAAAAACAAACATGATGTCAGCTTACATATGAAATTATAGGGTGAACGTGAAAGGTTCTGAGGACAAAAGAGAAAAGCGAAGAATACAGATGTTGCTCTTAAATTATTGCACTCAAGATTTGTGCTTATGTGTCTTGAGATAGAACTTACAGTTCACTCATGAAAGTAATGACCATAGCAGTTGACTCACCCAGAAAAAAACAAAATAATCAATCTATCGGCTACTCAGAGGCGAAATGAAAAAGAAAATAAGAGTGATGGAGAAAGAACTACGTGAGAAAAAAGGAAACAATTAATTTTAGAAATAAATTTGAAACTTAGTGAATTATGAAATAAATTTGAGGGATTATGCCCTTGAAATATTAATTTCTGCATCTCTTTCAGTTTTCGTTAATTCCGTTTAAATACCATGTCAAAGATATATCTTGTAGTCAAATTTTTTCTATATATAGTTATCACCTCTTTAATCAAAATATTTGTTTTCTAAGGAGTAAAAGAAGTAGACTTAGAAAAAGAATGAGAAGTAGAATAAAAAATATGACTTCTTTCTGGTCTTTCCAATAGAATGATAGTTATATGATGATTTTAATATAGGGTTTCATCCTTTGTAGAAACACTAACTTTTGATAACATTGCATTTGTTTATAATATTTTATAAAAATATATAATATATTAAAAGAAATCATCCAATGACATTGAGAAAGTTTTTGTTCTTGTTTCTAATGTCCAAGCTTTGAAAATGGCCGATTGATTGACCCATCCCTAAGAGAGTCTTAATTGCTCATTTGGTACTTCTGCTCTCCTACTAATTCCAACTCACTTTAACATCCAAATTCTCTCAGAGACAGACATCTTAACACTGTTACATTTATCTGTTACTTATATCGTGTGTTTGCGAGAATGTGGAATGTAAAGGTTGGAATTTGTGGGAGGAATAAATTTAACTTGGACTCTTTTACACATCAAAATCACCCTTTTGTTCACTTGAAGTATTCAAGCAGGGCTACGAGTCAAATTCACACTTTAGGGGCATTTTCCCATTCACGACATTGGGGTCAACAACACTGAGACCATTTGGTAGAAAGATAAATTGTTATTGTTACTAGACAAGTAGTTACGCACCTCTATCATCCTTTCCAAACCATGTAATAAGATCATCATCGGTGATGTCAGCAAGTAAAGGACTTCCTTGGCTGGTGTGGAAAAAGGTTTCTGCTGCAAGATCTTCACGGCCAGCAGGATACACTCGGGCAAATGCTGGTCGCAAACCAGTAACGACAAATGGACTTCTTACCAAAAATCGGATGCAGTGTGGACAGGTATTGCTTACCTAAGACCAAGAAACAATACATGTAATTCAGAAACAAAAATAATTGAAGGTCATTCTTAACAAATATTTTACAAGTTTAATTTTCAATTGAATTCACTATCCCTGGTTAAAAGTTAAAGTTTATTAGGGAATTATTAAGCCAAAATATTGAACAGAGTTATACATGCATTGTATAAGTAGGTTTTCTAACTCTTGTTTTGTACTTTTAAACATGTTTTTTAGCTTGAAGATGGTTGGAAACATTGTGAAAATAAGCAGACTCTCGTAAGTGTCAAATGAATAATAGAGTTATCCATCAATACAATTGTTCTGTCCTAAAAATAAAATATTGATAAGGAGAAAAAACAATTAGTTTTTTGAATTTTTGGAACAGGAATATCAGACCAGAAAAGTATTAACCCTGCTGCGGGGACCGTTTTCACGATCTTACCCTGTTAACCCTTTACAAAATATTTCCTGTCTCAGTATAAAAAAGTTGAAAGAGAAAGTTGCTGTCACTCACATTAGAAAGCACAAACCACACAAGATCCCCCAGAGAGCCATGGTACACATCCAGATCAACCGGGCTCACTGATTCCAGCTGGAAGCCAGAAAAGAGGGTTACCTCTAGTCGTAAGACGCTTGATACGTCATCGCCTTTCCACCTGCAACAAATTAAGTCTTAATACATTTTTTTATTTGCATGGTAAATGATAAATACATAAAGAGGTCGTGACAATTGAACCATGAGCAAATGTAACTGAAACATTAAGAAAATTGAAAACAATTCCAAGTCTATGAAGATATTATTAGGATTAACTAAATATACTGAGAAATAATAAAATAAAGATAGATTTGTCTGGTGCCAAAGCACCAAGGCATAGTAGTAATAATAATAATAATAATAATAATAATATTAATGTAGATGGTGAGTTAAAACTTACATCAATACAAGAACTAACAACAGTTCAAATAATAATATTAATAATAATAATATGGTTGATGTTATTAATAACAGTATTTAATTGTTGGGAAGATTGCTAGGAGTAGTCTAATGACGTCACGCAAGTGTAGGTAATGATAGTTTAATTTTATTGGACAACCGAACATTAAGAAAGTTTCATTGTCTGTCATACTACCTCACCCGAATAGGTAAACATTGTTAGAAGGAAACACTGGGAAACAAGTTATGTCTTCTTCTGATAAAATTATTTGGAGATGTTTGTATGTTATATTTGTACTAGTAATCAATGTCTTTAAAACATTGAATTATATACAGATTAAAATAATTACAGACTAGATAGAGTGCTAGGTAGAGTAATGTAAACAAAAGTGATGAATGTAAACATATTACAAGATTATTTTCAATTGCAAGAGGGAACAAAAGAATACATATGAGGCACACAGATCCAAAACCTGCCTTATCCATTTTTATGAAAATTGAAAGAGTTTAAATTATGAGTTTTTGGAATATTTGTGAAGTTAATGTTATTTATAATCTGACATAATGGCAAAGCTGTTTCCAAACACATTCTAAACTCCATGTAAATGTATTGCTACTTCAGTCAACATTTCCATAACCCGCCGTATCTTCACATGCTGTTGGCATGGAGCTGTCTTTATTTCAAAGGAATACTCGCCTAGCATAGAGGATTAGTAAAAGGATTCTATGAGTATTCTGTAAGATTATTCTTTCTGATATTTGCACAAATTTTACCCTCACATATCATTACTCAGTTTGCACAAATTTTACCATTACAGATCATTATTAATTTTATTTTATTATTTCTTATAAAATCTAATCACAGATTAACATATGGATAATAGCATTTAATGTTTCTAAGGTTTGGATATAAGATTAATACGTACTATTTTGGAATATCCATACCAATTATTAGTTGTGGCACGCCATGACACGGCTATATCGTAATAATATGTTATTTTAAAGACTTAATATTTCTATTTTACAGATTCAATACTACTTTTTAAGACGTCTCTTGAAAACTCTTTTAATAGCACTGCTGTAATGAAATGTACGTACTGTTCATTTAGTAACGTCAAAGACATTAGCAAAACTAACTTTTCCGAGGCTTTGTGTCTTGAATATAAAGGCCTACCGTTCAACAATTTCTTTGAATATGTTGTACGTACATTAGTAAAACCCCGCGTATTCGAATGCGTAGACTTTGTGCTAACTCCGGGAGGTACACAAAATAGTATTTTTTTCTAAATCATTTTCGTGTTTTTCTCTTTCTCTTTAAAGACTTGTTAACTAGTGGCGTTCTAACAGCACACACTTTTCCGCAGTATTTCTAACATTTTCAATTTCCGAAAATCCAAGAAGTTCAACGGAAATAAGACCTGCGCCATTCTTTTCAGAGTCCTTTACACACTCCCAGGACAATGCATAAGAAAAAAAATTGAAGCCACGTAAAGTACTTCCTAATATCCATTTCAAACTTGGAGGACCTCGAATCGGTTGAGAAATATCAGTTTTGGAGAAAATCGTCTGCATTGTTTAGGTGCCAGAGTTATCTGCAGACGGGTTGACTATAGACGTGCCAGACGTACAGTTCTGTCCGACGTTCAGACATGACAAACGTACAGATGCGACAGATGTACAGACGTACAGACCTGGCAGATGTACAGACGTGACAGTCGTATAGATGTGTCAGACGTACAGACGTGACAGATGTACAGACGTGACGGACTTGTCGGCATTTACTACGCTTGTGCTACGTCTGGCCTGAGCTAACTGAGTTTCCGTTTATTTTATCCTTTCGCACGTAAGCTGTACTCGGTCGCAAACTACTACTTCGCTTAGAATGACGATTCGGCGTTACAATTATTAAATTGCAATACAATTCCACAGATATACTGTTTACGAGATGCTCGAATAAACATTATCAAACGAAGTGTAGTTAAACGGACTCACGGCGCTCCATTCCACGTCAAATATCGTCTTCAGGGCTCCGTAGACGTTAAGGGCACTTCTCAGGCGTTCCAGCATTTGCGGAGAGGTCGTGGCGTCTCCGTAGCTGCATTTTCAGGTTGAATCCACCCTTAACCCCTCTCAAGACGTATTATCCTTCCCTCCGCCGTTGCCAAGTACAATGCGAATGTTCTGGATGTAGGTGTTTTAATCAGTTAATGCATCAAGTGTGAAGACGGAATAAGAAACTAAAAGCCGTAAGAAACATAACTTGAATTAGATTCTGAACACTATGAGACGAAGTTCTCAGCGCCAATTTAGTTATTCAATGAGGCTGGGCACGTACTTTGTCGTGCCTAATTAATTTATACATAATCTTTCTTTAAAGATAATTGCATTATAGTGAAAAATGAAATTAAAAACGTAATTTACATCTTAACGAGCTTCTTATGAATTCTGTTCTGGAACAATGCGGTTTAGATCACACTGAAGCAGGCGACGAACCTCTCTTTATCACATTCTGTGATAAAAGGAACAATTTTTCTCGCAGTTCCAGCGGATTTCCGTTATCACAACTCGGAAATTTGTGATTCAGCTGATTTACTGTTGCGTGCATTTTCCGCAGGGGTAGCTCACAAAGGGCTCTCTATCCCACACTCACAGAAGGAATGCTACCAGGTTGCGGCGCGAACTGCACACGAGTGTTTGTTTCTTTGCTCCTGCTGTTTTATATTGATTTTCTTAATTCTCATCTTTTCTACGGGAAATACTGCATACTGCACGTTGGAGGCAAAGAAAAATCTTTAGTTTCAGAATCGGCCGTTTGAATATTTATCTGATAAACAATATTTGTGAGATAATATTAAAACGATGCTAATATAATGAAACTCAATACATTATTTCTTCACAGCAAGTTAGACCAAGATATGTTTTCCCTTTAAAAACGTTTGTTAAAAGATGAAAAAGATGGATTTTGGATGTGTAGCTAGAAAATTATTAATGTTCTATACTTACCGCACACAAGTACTGAGTCTGAGGCGAGGTAATTTCCCTTCTAACTCATCCAAAGAATTTCTACTTGGAACAAGTTCGCCTTCAACACTTGCCCATAAGTCTAATAAATGTGTATGATCTGCTGGGGCGTAAGTTGAGTAACTGACACGGCCCTAGAAAAGAAAACAAAACATCATCCGTAAATGCGACATGAAGAATTAAGGAAAAAGTCAATATGTGTCTTGTTAATATTTTTTTAAAAAATCGAGAATTTTTATTTAACATAATCAAAAATTTACACAATTTTGGTAATAAAAGCATACTGAAACAATGTTATTGTAAGTAACACATGGAAAGTATTGTAAAGTTGTAAGAACATTTTACCAAAAACGGCTCCAATATTTTCTTTTTAATTTTTGTGTTGGGAACGCCGGATTCGTAGATACTTACTGAGCACTTACTTCACGTGCTTTTGTTTGAATTATTTTGGACTTTTTAAAGTGATGGATGAAATGTTAGTTGGACAGAATTATTATAATATTACCGTTCCCGGATACGCGAGACATTTTGACGTGTTCTAGCACCACGAGTTATACTTGTAGATAAAGTAGCTATACATTTTAATTAAACTGTTATCATTTTCTCCTTTACACTTTCGTGAGTTAGTTTTCAAAAAAATACAAATACTTCAATACTTGTGATATATGTGCTATCTTACTTAGGAAGTCTACCAATATGCTGAATTAATCGCATTCACCTGGCGTTTATCGGGTAAACCACGGAAATCTACCGATCAGAGCAACCGGCCGATAGAATTCTCCTCTAGACTGAATTCGATATTGCTGACAAGCTAGTGTCGCAAATCCTGCCACCGTCGGGACTCGAAACTAGGACTTCCCGGTTAGAGGCATTGCAGGGACATCAGTTGATTCCCTGAGTCATCCATCCCGGTCGCCATACGCAAATCCCGCGCTGTGTTTACAATTCTACGAGAATCAGTTGTGTTGTTTCAAAATGTAAAACCAAAGAGGAACCCACCTGAACAGTAGCACATCCTGCTCCTGTAGCGTAAACAAACACTTTCGTGGGAAGAGAGGGCAATTGAAGATGTTGAGGTTCTGAGTCAGGCCTTAGCTCTAACGTGTCTGTTAATTCCATGCCTGACGTCGCAAGAGAAACTGTTAAAGCGCGATGGCGGTCAAGAGCGAGAGATGCAAATTCCGAGAAAGCTTGAACGGCAGGATACAGCAACTGAAAAAATACATTCATATTTTACTAGGTTACCCTTTTATCCACATCTTTAACTTTTTTCTTATTTGTACAAGAACTTCCATGTTTACACTATTAATGAAACAATATAGAGCATCTTTCAATATCTTAAAAAAATTATAATACGCGTGTAAACCACAAGGAACGCAGCTATGAAACACATGGCTCAGATATTTTTAGAAATATTCCTCCTGGAAACATGAGATTTAAGAATACATATGGGCACTTAAGAAACTATAAGGACTCTCTTGAAATACATAAGGACGTTCTAGAAATATATAAGGACACTATTATGAAACGAATACTTACCTCTATATGCCTGTCCAGTAAGTGTGAACGGTAAAATAGGTAACGTGCAACAGGTTCCGCTGATTTCAAATCTCCCAAGCGGGCGTAAGTCATCAATGTAAACAGTGAAGCTTTAAATTCTGCAACTGTTGCTGTGGGGGAAAAGGAAATTATTATTATTATTACACAATTGATAAAGTCAAACAAATTATTCAATCACATCACTGAACAATATTATAAACCTAATTTTACGTGAATTAAAAATAATAAATTTGTAATTATTGAATAATATTTTGAACATTAAAACAATTTACGAATAATACGAGATAGGAAGCCACGTAGGTGCTATAAAATTATTTTAAACATTTATTTTTGAATTAATAATTTTTTCAAACAAAATTAGTAATTTATATTATCTGATGGATCTGATGATCCATCTCATACACAATAGTTGTAAGTCATTTTTTCTGCGTAATAAAAAATTGTGATAAAGTTATTTACGTAACTAGTAATGCAGAAAGAGGGTCCTTAGCGAAGCAATGAAATGTTGACAGACGAATCGACGTTCTGAGTCGAGTCTCGCATTTTGAAATGAGTACAAAGGCGCGTTTGCATGAGAATTGCATACATTATTTTTTAAGAATTGAAGAGAACTTGCAATCTTGAGGTTCTATTGAATAAGCGAAGAACCAGCCGAGTCGATTCCTGTCGTCCGCCACAATGTTTCGTTTACTTTGCAGCAGTTAATTGTTTTGTAAGGCTTTGACTTTTGCGAAAACCGTCTGGCCTTTGCCTTAACGCTGCGCTTCCAATTAAAAGAGGAAAGGCAAGTAAAGAGGAGGGAAGCAACATCGACAACAAAATAAACATCGGTGTTTCTAAACATCGATGCTCAAAATGAAAACATGGGTGTTAATAAAACATCGACCAAAAACCAGTGATGTTCTTGCACATTGACGATTTTAAAAATGGATAAGTAGCCACTGAGGTTCACGTGGGGGAATTTAATTTGAAAGTGGTTCATTTAGAAATTTTTAATAAACATTTACCAGATAAAACAAAATAATGATCATAATGATTGAAAAAACTCTGATTATCTGGTGCGATAATTCGAACATATATAGGTTTCTTTATTAACGAGATTTCGATTTTATTTATTTTCCATTCTTGGTAACTTTGGTCAGAAGAATATTAAATTTATGGATATCTGAATATTATTATAGATTTTATGATAGTATTTTGTTCATTAAAAATATGAAAAAAGCAAAAGGATAGAGCACACAACATCAATGCTAAAAACATCGGCTTGAATGATAATTGATCAATTGATAGTGATGCCAGGCGCATCAACTGCCAAGGTTAGTCATGTGAAGTGCATGTGTTTTCCTCAAGAGGTGGCGGTGATCTCCCCCCGCCTGTATGGCGAACTACCATTGGCTAGCGGTGTTTTCCCCAACCAAGTATCCCCCACCAGGGGCGCACCGCTCCAACGGGAAGAAGCTGCAAGCTCCCGACCGGTCTCCCAGCATGTGTGGTTGTCTAGCGCATGTTAAAGTGTGTGTAAGGAAAGGGGTGAGGATAGGCCACAACAGGACCACTTGTAGGAAAGATCGCGCGTCGTCCGAGGCCCGTTTGTTACGGTACTGCTCCGGCATTCGCCTGGCGTCGATCGGAGAAAGCACGAGAAACTAGCGATCAGAGCAGCTGGCCGCTAGAATTATCCTCCAGACAGTGACTGAATTTTACCTAGGTAGTGTTGAAAATACTGCCATCATCGGGACTGGAACCTAGGACCTCCTGATGGGAGGCACTGCAGTAACATTAATTGATACCCTGAGCCACAACTGAAGGTATTGGCTTCAAACACTCGATGATTCGTGCATGAAAAATCGATGCTTTTATAAAAACATGGATGTTTAGAAAACATGTCGATGTCTCATGCTAAGTGAGAGTCTTACTGGCTGAGAGCTCCTAGCGCCGGCGACTGTTAAACTTTGCCGGCTAGCTCACGGTGTAAATGTTTCATTCCTCGTGTGTGTGTAGGGCATACTGGGCCATCGCTCCTTGTGCCGGAGACTTTTAGTCTTTGCCGGCTAGCTCACTGTGTAAATGTTCCATTCCTCCATGAGTGTGTGTGTGTGTGTGTGTGTGTGTGTGTGTGTGTGTGTGTGTGTGTGTGAGTGGAGGGCTTACTGAGCGAGCGCTTCTTGCGTCGGCGACTGTTAGACTTTGGCAGGTGGTTTACGGCATAAATGTTACATTCCTTGTGAGTGTGTGTGTGTGTGAGAGAGAGAGAGTGGAGTGCATACTAAGGGAGCGCTCCTTGCGCCGGCGACTGTTCGTCTTTGGCAGGTAGCATACGGCGTAAATGTTCCCTCCCTCGCGCGTGTGTGTGTGTGTGTGTGGGTGTGTGGGTGGTCGGAGGGCTGTGTGTGTGCACTCACTGGGCGCCCGCTCCTTGCGTCGGCGGCCGGCGCCGGCCTCGTACAGCCAGTCGGGCGCGTGGCGCGCGGGGCGAGGCGCGCGCGGCCAGCCGAAGTCGCCCTCCTCGTTGGCGGAGGCGTTGCGCAGCAGGTCGAGCGCCGCGGCCGCCATCTCGCTGCGCGCGCGCGCCAGCGCCAGCGCCTGCAGCGCCAGCGCACACGGCGCGCGCGCGCGGAACACGTGCCGCTCCAGGAAGTAGCGCGCGCGCAGCGCGCACTCCGCGTCCGCCTGCACAACAGCGCACACATTTGTTCATTTTGACATCGCTAATGTTTTCTTTTGAAAATAAACGAGTGGCGCAAAAGCAAGTTACAGATAAGAGTGATGTTGCCACTACCTCACATTCAATATAAACATTTTTTTCTCAGGCAGGTTGTACAAATGCGTTGTTATCGCGAGGTACAACGATACACTACCCACGAAACTGGTGGGGTTAATGTTGAAGGCTATATAAACGAGTGACAGACGTTTTTGGCAGGTTTTTGACAGGACATAAGCATGCTAATATGTACCTCAAAATTTACGCTCTAGCACTCCTCAATAAACTTTTGTAACTATAAAGAAAATATATAACAACATGTTTGGTGACACTTTTAACCAATATGAGGATTCTTACATTATTAAAATATCGACATCTTGTACTGTGTGATAAAAATGTAAATTTTATTACCTATTAAAATTTGAACCCCAAACAGTTAAATGAGATACTAGGTGTACCATCGAGGAATTAAACATTTTGCAATACATTTTTGAAAAAAATACCGTCAGCAGGAGACTTTTCACAATTTCTAACGTCTATTTTATCCCTAAGCAAGTACATATGTGTAGAACACAAACATACAAATTGTAAAAAGTAAAATAAAAAATAACAACTTTATTCCAAAGTGCATGCAGAAAGTAAATCACAATTTTACTACATCGTGTCGTCGAAGTCTGCCCCTCTGAGAAAAGATAATGTTTGACAGTGACCAGCAAATCTACATCACTGTGATTCGCTTAATGATGAGCGGACAGAAATCTCATGAGATGAAACGGCTGGAGGCGAATCCTATCCATCTGGACTGTAGAGTGGATGGTCAAACGCTTCACAGGGGAGCCGTGGAAGAAGACCGATTGTGCATGTTGATCCCAGGGTGTGCCAAGTGCCTCCGATCGGGTGAGGTGTGTGTGTGTGTGTGTGTATATGTGTGTATGTGTGCGTATGTGTGCGTATGTGTGTGTGTGTGTGTGTGTGTATCGCTGACCTCGCTGTCGAGGCCGAGGTCGAGCAGAGCGGCGAGGGTGTCGGCGGTGCGCGCCACGTCTTCGTCCAGCGCCGAGTCGTCGCTGTCGCTGTCGCCAACGCCGTCTGCCGGCGCCGGCGGGAAGCGCCCATCGGCCGCCTGCCGG